TGAAATCTCTGAATACTTTAGGTAGTGAACTTTCAAATTTTTAGAAAGTGAACAAAATTCTTTGATGTTTACGTATTAATTATGATTCTAAGATCACTAACATTTTCTAATCAAAGGATCTTAATTTATATTCCATAGATAACTTGTTAGGCTCACTTATTGCCTATGAGCAAGGTGAGAATCAAATATTTTAGGATGCAAGAGATAAGGGAAAGGACCAAGTGGTGGCACTAAAAGTAAATGAATCTGAAAGTGGCAGCTCAATAATTGAGGAAGATGATGACATAACACTATTGACATGATAATTCAAAAGCTTCTAAAGAAGAAAAAGAACATCATCAATACTGAAACAAAGGTAAACTAAATAATAATTTCAAAGTATCATCTGATGCAAATTATTTTGAATGTAGAAAGCCAAGCCCCATGAGGATGGATTGCCCCAACCTAAAAACTCACTTGATCAAGGAGAAGGGTGAAGAGAATATAAAGTTCAAAAAGGGGAAGCAACGAATGTAGAAGGCATTTTGGGTAGATTTTTCTTTGAATTCATTAGAAATAGAAATGGTTGAGGTTGTAACTAATATGTGCCTTATGGCAGATAATAATCTTGATTATTTCGATTAAGATGAGGTAGATGAGCATTCATAAAAGGAATTATTTGAAGTTTTTAAAAAAATTCACAATACATATAGAAAGCTTAAGAAAAAGTATGCTAGTTTGAATCTTTATTTCTGAAGTTTGCAAAAAGAGTATGATAGCCTTAGAATAGATCACTCTATATTAGATTAGCAGCATATATCTTTACTTGATGAATATTATGCTTTAAATAAGAAGCATGTTGATATATCCATCTCATATGAATATTTGAAATAAAAACATCTCAAGAAAGAAAATAAATATAAATAATTAGAAACATGTGCATCAGAACTAGGTAGTAGTGAGTATGCATTAAGATTGGAAGTTGCGAATCGTGAAAGTGTGAAATAATTTTTAAAAGAAAAATTCATGCACTGCAAAAAAATAGAACACCATCCACATTGACACAATGGAATAATCTCACATCACTTCATGCATCATATACCCATACGAAGATGCATCAACCCAAGTATATTAGTGAACCATTTACCAGGTGTTAGGTGCGATTCTTGTGGCATGCTAAGTCGCATAGTCCTCTAAGTATGATACACTACATCAAATATTTCACCAGTAGGAGACTCGCTTTGACACATACATAGCAAAGAAACACCAGGAACACGATAATGATATGGCTTGGTTTGGAGAGAAAATTGCCTCAATTCATAGATACTTCCAATCACCACTACCACCTCCTCCACCAGATCAGGGCCCTTCTTACTTTTAATGTGTCATATTTTAGCTTTTGTATTTGTATTATTTTTTAATTTCCTTGTGATGTATATTTTATTTTTGTATTTTGTTTAGTTTTTCCTCTTTATGTGTTGTTAAAAGGGAAAGTATCCTATTACTGGCTGTCTATATTTACTTTTTTATTCTGATTAATCCACTATCTTACATTTATTTTACTTCTCTTTTTTTGCTTTTTATTTATTGCTCATTTTTTGTGTTCCTTTTATTCCTCATTAAAAAAATTACCTCCATATTTTCAAAAATTCAATTAGTAAGGGGGAGCTTAGGACATAACAAAAAAAAATTTAAATTATTTACCAACAATATTTATCATCATAAACATGGAGAGATTTTTTTAAAAAAATTTGGACCCAAGTCTTGTCATTTTGATGATAACAAACATAATTGGATTCTTTACTATGCTATCACTTATTATTGTTATGATTGCATATCTATTTTTCTTGAGCACTAACATTTCAGGTCTACCATATACTATGAAAAATTGATCAACTCAAGAATGGATAGAATAGGGTTAAGTGTCTTGAAGAGTTAATATTTTTGCTTTTTCTTATTTCAATATTTCTTAAGTGAACTCATGTATTTGGTGAATACTAAACTTGGTTATCGTGCACATATACTGATAAGGGAGTGATATAGTAAGAAAGTTAGAAGTTTAATTTTATGAACTAATCGTAATGTACGATCAGCTATTAAAAAATACATTAAAATGGCTAATCATGATAATTAAATCATTTTTAACTATTATTATTGTATGGTAGATATTGTACAGGAAGTTAGTTGAAATTAAGATTGTAGCTACTAATTATAATTTATGCAATATTTAGAAATTCAAAATTTGTATTAATCATACTATAAGATATGTATCACACTGTGTGATGTAATTAAATATTACCTTAATTAATCCTATAATTTTGGAAATGATTTGGGCAAATTGGTCTAGTCAGATCGTACAAGATAATTTGAGCTAATTGTAATGTATTACAAGATCTCTGTATGGGTCAATATTTATTTCACCGCTAATCATACTAAAAAATAATCCAAGTCATTTAAACTAGTCATACTGGATGATTAACTTAATTAGTTGAACTGATCGTATAGTGGCTTGCACTTCATGTAATACTAACAGGGTTTTTTGAACTAATCATATTGTATAATCTTTGATCGTATTATACAATCAATGTTGATATAATTAAATTCTAGGAATTTTTGTGGACCCTTATATTTAATCTCTCTTAATAAACTTATTTAAATACTTTGGCTATTGAGTGTTTTGGAGAGAGAGCTTGGAGAAGAAATCTAAGAGAGCATGTGTGTGAGGGAGAAATAGTGTGAAGGGTTCACACAGTTGCTCTAAAAAAGTATCTTGCTTCGTTTCCTCCAGGTGCTTGTTTAGGTTACTTGGGTGGCTCTATGAAGAAGTTCTTCAGTTAAAGACAATTAAGGTTCTTTGCCTTCACCAGGAGAATAAGAAAGGATATTTAGGTTCTCTTTCATCACCAAGAGAGTGAGAAAGGAGGTCAAAGTTCTCTATCATTACCATGAGGGTGAGAAAGGAGGTTAAGGTTCTCTTCCATCATGAGGGAGGTGATAAAGAAGGTCAAGGTTCTCTGCCATCACCAGGAGGGTGAGAAAGGAGGTCAACATTGTCTGCCACATTGGGTTGGTGAAAAGATTATAAGGGCTTCTCCACCTAGTTGTAGAGGCTAAATTGGAGACACTAAAGTTTAGTGCAATACTCAAAGAGGATGACTCCAAGAACTATACACAGGTCATTATTTGACTATACTACTATAAAATATCATTATTCTTAATTTTCACATTTTACATTTTATTGATTTTTCTCTGTGATAATTGCTTGTTAAACTTTTGTGATTGATGCTTTATTGTGTTGATTAGAATATCATCATCATTATAAATTTTAATAAAATTTTTTGCTTCCCCATTTAGTGATAAGTGTTGTTATTTTTTTTAAGTTATTAAAATTCCAAAAACAAAAATAATTTTTGGTTTTCAAGTAGGATTTTTAAAACTACCAATTCACCCCCCCCCCCTCCCCCAACACACACATACGCTCTTGGTGTGCCAAGGAATAATTCATTTAGGCTTAACATCATACATGGAACATTCATCTCTAAATTCACATATTTAATCTTTAAAACATTAGTTTGTGCTTGGGTATATAGCTTTTAAGTAAATTAATAATGTAGATGATTTTCATTAGTTAATTACTATGATTTTTGTATTGAAAATTATGGTTTTTTATTCATCCAAATTATTACCTAGAGTTTAGTATTATTCTGAATTTTAAATAATTTTTATTTCTATTTTGGTTTTGGTAAAATAAGGAATCAAAGTGGAAGCACTATGTATAGAACATTTTTAATAGTTAACCAATAGTGAGAATTTTATTTAAATGTAAATTGAATGAAAGAAAATAATGTTAACAAAAAATAAATATTACTAATAAGAACAAAAAATATCTAATAACAAAAAGTAAGCTTATCCTTTTTCATTAAAAATGATAAAATAGTACATAGACAAAAAAATATGTTAATAAAGATAATTATAAAGAATGAAGCACTATTTTCCTATCACTATTCACCACTTAATACATCTAGTCTCCTACTCTCATTAGAATAAATAATAATGGCTATCTTTCCCTTCTACCACATCAAGATACCATGGGGATCTCCCCCAACCAAAAGAAACACAACTTAAAGAAAAAGAAAAATAAATAGTACAACCACCACCAACAACATATGAATCTCCTAGCTCCAAGAAGCACTAAGTTTATAGTCTTCAACCAGACTCTCAAGATTTTTCATTATTGCTGGGATGCATCACTACCACTAAAAAATTGGTCCATACTAAGATACATCACTTTATCCTTTAGATTAATTTCAGTATTACTAGACAATGTTCAAAGTGGTCCACTGCTAAAAGAAATAATAAGCTAACCTATTTAATTTTCCTAATTTCTATTTGAACTAAATTGACTTTGCAATATAGTCCCCAATTAAATCACTACCTCTTCTAAAGGTGTCTTCCTATCTTTGAATTGATTAGAACCCTGGGATAAGAAGGTCTAGGTTTTAGTACAGGATGTTTAGAAGTATTCCATTTTCCTTTTTAATTTGATTGACCACTATTCCACTTATTATTACCACTAATATTATTATTAGACCAATAGAAATTATGGCGGTTCCTCCAACCTAGATTATAAGTATTAGAATAGGAAATATTTTATCAGCTAATGAAGTTCAATTATAAATCTTATGAACACTACTATAACAAACATAATTTAAATAATGCTCTTCCAAATGCATAGATGATCTTGATCCTAAATAACACCAAAACTATCCAATTTTTTAGATTTAGAATCTACTGGAGTAGTCTAAATAAATAAGGCATATAATTCATAAACTCTTGCTACTCTTTTAGGATTCATCCTATCGGAAGAAAATTAAAATTTTTTGTAGTCATTTCCTAAATTAATTTGTTGGCTTCATTAAATGGCTTAGACATTAAAGATACTTCAACTGGTACATCAATTATTGACATAAGGGAACATACTAGCCCTTTAAAGAAAGTCTGAATCAACAACTAATATGGCAAAGCTTGGTGAGGACATTTCTTAAGCATCACCTTAAATCTCTCCCAATTTTCATAAATTGACTCTCCTTCAAACTAGCAAAATGATGTGATACCATTTCTAAGTTTGGTTGTCTTTGAAAGTAGGAAATACTTATATTAAAACCTAATAACATAATTGCTAATACAATTAAACTTGAATATTATGTAGATTTCTAAGAAGCTATTTACATTTAGCTTGGGATCCTCAGCTGGATTTCTATAAAACTATGAATTTTAAGCCATTTAAATTTTGGTGGGTTTTAGCTCAATGTTATTAGCTTGGATAGTAGATCTTTTGATACTCTGATGAATTTCAACTACTACAAGATTAACATACTTCCTAATGTTTGTGATATCTAACTTCTTTAGACATACCTAAAACTAAATTCTTTTTTAATTTTCAATTTTTTGTAAGGGTCCTCTCAATTTATAAGTGAAATAAAAGGGCTTCATACTAGATCTACTACACATGCAATAATAAAGATAAAATTAAATATAAATAAATAAAACTTAGCAACTAGCAAAAGATTTTTCTTTTATTTTTATGAATTTTTTTAATAAAAAATAATAATATGATACAAGATGAAGTAAGGAAAAATATGCAATTAGTTCAACAATATAGTTGAACTTGCCATACACACATTACTTCCTTGATAACAATACAAAAAACTTGACGTGGGGCATGGGGTGTATTGAAGAAATAAATTATGTTTATGCTTTGGATTGAAATATGCTTATATTTTCTTTGATATGCAATAGATACTAGAAAGAATAGTGGATGTGTCAGTCAGGTCATAAATTGACTAATAAAATATTTTTGATTAATGAATGCAAATTACCAAAGTTTTCCTTATAAGTATCTCTTTTATTTATGTGGATTAGAGCATATGAATCCCTAAATATCTGTTAAGGTTGTAGGGATGTAAAGTGAGGTTTATGGCCTTCCTATATTATTTGTATCTCCAATGAACCTATATGGTAAAACATCATATGTCTAGGCATGCAAACATTATATTCGAATACTCATATTTATTAAAATATTCGTTCATCGATTTAATATATCCACTAAATATCTACTTACATATATAGTGGCTGGCAAATAATTCCCAAGTACATTATCCTTCTCTCCCTGATCCTCCCATAGATTTATAATGTGGGGTCACTATAGTCTGCACTAAACAAGATAGAATTAATACTAAAGTCACAGTTAAATGATCTAAAAAACTATTTATACTTCTAAAAAAATGGACTTAAGTGTAGCAATGACATGGTGGTTCTGTAGTGTTATAGAATGAACTAGCACCTCAGACCTACTTTTCTTGATTTGTTATGGCATTTGGCTAATTTAACTCATATAATGGTTGAATTGGTGCATCATTTGGCTAATTTGGAACGACTGCATCACTTGGCTAATTTGGAACGACTCCATCTTTTAGCAATTGCTCCACCATGATGCTAAAGAACTTTAGTACAATCTGGTGCAACAGAGTTTTAATGTTTGGTGTTGCGTTGCTTAAACTTTTGAGACTCAGGTGCTACAACAATGATTTATAGCACTGAGGTGTTATGAAGCACTACAACGTTGAATTTAGCTCCATTAAGGAACTAAATGAATTGTTATTATTTTAGGCTATGGTGTTGCAGTTTCCTATTCTAATGTTGGGATGTTCTTGAAACTGCAATGCTAGTGCTTAGCGAACTGCGATGCTAGCTCAACACTTAAAATTTTTGCTCCTTTTAACTAAAACATTCATGCACAAAAATATAAAATAATAATATTTTTATTGATATTTAAGAATAGTAAAACACTACATAATTTACAAATAAAAATATCCCATCTTATAAACCTACGTACCATCCATAAGTTTAAAATAAAATAGACACTAAAATAAAGTCACATCATTAAAAGACAAGTCATCATCATTTTGTGTACTCATATTTTTCTTCTCATGTATTTTACATGCAATTAGCATATCACAACTGATGGACTCGTACCATGTATGCATATAAGGGAGCATTCCTAAGGACTACATGATCTTACTTGGACAAAAAAATTAAAAGGAGGTCACCACACATAAATACTTCCAATAACCCACATGGATTACTCAAACTCCCACTCACTCTTCATTGAGAGGTGGTTAATTATTTCTATCAACGATAAACTATTTTTAACTATGATTGCCAACTCAGCTATACAAAATCATTCATCCATGAGTGTGTTGTTGGTGGAATTTTGAAAACATATTTTAAAAATATTAGTTTTATTTGAGACTGAAAATTGAATTCAAAAATCGAATTGTCTCGTTAGAAAAAGTATTGATGCCTCAAGAGGTGAAAATAAAATTTCATAACGGTATTCAGATTTAGAATTATGAAATTCATCTTGAATATCGTGACCGGATGCTAAAGAGAACTTCATATGGCTCCGAAGGGTCAAAATGAGATTCTACTAAATATCCAGCCACAATATTCAAGAAGTGTGATCGTTGATTTCACATCCAAAGCCTTATAAAAAAAAGTGTAACTCCCCAAAGGGAGAAAATACCATTCGATGATAATTCTTTGATCATGATAAAAACGATCACTAGTATTTTAAGTTTTCACAAAGAAATCCAATTGAGCTTTGAAAAATCAATTTTAAAATCAGGTGTGTGTGGTTCTAATTCTCCTACGAGCGTAAGCCATCGTAGTTAATTTCATCGTAGGGAAATATAGTTCCCTACGAAAACTCTTGATTAAAATGGTGGCAGAATTTTGTTAGATTTTTCTATGAGTGATATCAAAAAGAGAGGTGGATTTTGGAAACTCAAAAGGGAATGGATCAAAATTGAGCAGTTATTAATAGAGTCAGGGGAAGAAAGGTAGAGGACACTTTGAGATTCCGGAACCACCCAGAAGTGTCTCAACTTAATCAAAGTGTTGGGCTTTATGTTTTGGATTGAAATGATATTTAATTAGAGTTGAGCATTTTATTAGAAGTTTGGGATTAGATTCTCTAAGTTTGGGGTCTTATAACCAAAGATCTGCTCCAGAGATTAAATCTATTTTGGACACTGGACCATAGTCGTCCGATCCTAACTAATACAGTGCAAGGTCTGGACTTACCCCGTCCTGGATTGGGGAGCCAGCTAACCACTTAATCGATTTAAAAGAGATGAGTCTGGTCTTTTATGAAAGAGTTGTAGGGATGTTGTGTTTAAGGTTTTGGAGAGTTGGGGCCGACATCTAGAGATTTTCCTAATTGGCCCGTTTGACTTATGTTGGGTGCAAAATGCTAAGTACTATGAAATTAAAACTTTAACTCTTTAGGTGTGTTTCTAATGCAATGCGTGCTGGTTAATAACCTCAAATAAAATATGCTTGAAATTTTAAAAACAGGCTTAGAAAACATTTTATTAGAAGACTTGACTTCCCCAGGTCCGGCACCTCATCCATATAGGTCAGACTATCCGGACTCTACCCGCAGGCGGAGAAGGGTCTAAAGCAAGGAAAGAAGAAATGCAGAAATATGCATGCGACCCCGGGGTTGATCCCCGACTAATTCTCTAGATTCATTATCTTTCTATGTTATTTAGACTCACTAATGTTTTAAACTTTAAAGTTATTAATATAAAAATTTTCACACCCTCACGAGCCTCACGAGTCCAGGCAAAAAAAAAGCGGCACACAATCGCCAAAAAACTAAGAAAAACAAATAGTCCTATAGGCAATCAATTCATCACATAAAATATTAATTAATCAATAAATGTTCATAAGAAAAGTTGCCTTGCTTATTACAAACCAGAATTTTGCAGAAAGTAAAGTGGCCGGGCACCACTGACTAAAACCCAGATTCTAAACCTAGTAATGACGCAAGCAATTTTGAGTGGGATATTCTCAATCTTCAAGTCTTCAGTCTTGTTCTTCTTTAGACTCCTTTCCTTCAAGCTCCTTGGGTTCTATGTAGTGGATTACCCAAATGGATAAGAGGGCACTTCCTTTAAGGGGAAGGACACTCTTTCCCCTTTGGGTAGGGAGGAAGTGTGGCCCAAATTTGGATCTCCAAATAGAAAAGGTCTACTTCCCTAAGGGGCATCCTTTTCTCTTCGGAGTCCAAGCTTTGGACTTATATATCCCAACTCAAACTTAACTTTCACAACGCTTAATTATTACACAAATTACATTTTTTTTTTTGAAAATAAAATCTAGACTCACCTGCAGGGTTATCCTAAGCAATTAATATATATAAAAAAAAGCAGTTATTCCCAAGCAGTTTGTATATGAGCAGAAAAGAAAGTAAACACACTGGCCACGCTCTTTTTATGATTTGGGGGCTTTAGCAGCTGAAGCACCTGTGCAAGCAGTTATAGCAATTGATAATAATTTTTTTTTATTGATTTAGCCCCCTTTTTATATTGCCCTGCATGAGCGTGGCCACCTGCAGAAAACTGTGTCAACATCCAGATCGTACCTAACCTAAGGGTAATCTAGTCGCCAAACACATCAACCATCCACAGTCCTAGCACATCATCTAAAGTGTGTGTAAAAGGTCGTGTGGCTGGGATAGGTTCTAAAGTTGGTTATTAGTTGAAGTTGTCTAAAAGTCTGGGTTTGTTAAGGCTTAAAAGGGGATTTAGATTAAAATTTAAGTATTAATAAATTAAGAATTTTAATCAAACATATTTTAAAAGTTAATTGATTACTACCTTTGTTTCACACCGAGGCCGTGAAGTTTATTTCACCTTCCTTGGGGCTAAGCTAATAGCCTCGTAGGCCTGGGTTACCCAGTAGCAATCGGGGTTGATTAAGTTATTTAAATTTGTTAGAATTAAAGGAGTGGATTGATATTAAAGGGAGTTGGTTACTGATTTTAATGGGTTGGTTGAGAATTTTATTATCCTATTAAGAAAATTCTGGAATTTGTGAGAGTTAATGAATTTTTGAAGTTATCCAGATATGCTAACTAAGGGGTCAAAACTTGACTTTTAAAATTAAAGTTAATCTTAAGGGTTTCAGATTTTTAATAAATACTAGACCTAATTATGAGTTTTTAGACATATGGCACATTCAATTTGGAGTTTTCTATCAAAAGTTATGATTTTTAGAAA